ATATATATATATATGGTCTACATTTATTATACAATTTAACTAGTTGTTCATGGATTCATCTTAATATTACAAAGAAATACATGACATTCCCGGGACGGAAATTATACAGTCTGCTGTTTGGAAACCCCATGTGGAAGTGCAAGCACATACAGGAATCAAAATCTATCGGAAATTTAAGCTGTTTTCTTTCGAAAGATGCAGAGAAGGCAATTTGCTCTCACGTTTTTTGGTAGAAAAAAAAACAATACATTTTTATTGATAAGGACATCCAAAATCAACGTGAAAACGCCATGCCACTCACATGGTTAGTTTCACCAGGAAAAACGAAAACAAGTTCGGGTAAGGATGATTTGTAGGACCGCCTTGAAGGAACACAGGAATAGCAGGAATCGCCCACTATATATGCGGCTTTGCTCCAAACTCCGGGAAAATTAGGTTTATGATTAGGGCGTGGGTTAGGTTTAGGGTTTGTTCCGAGGTTGAGGTTAAGATCGGAGTTGGAGATTGATGTCAGGATTATGTAAAGGTCGAGGTTTGGGTGCGGGTTAACAACGTATAGGGTTCAGGCTTAAGGTAGGACCAGGAATGCCCTAATGCAGGCGAGAAGAAAATAATCACTGGCCCATTTTTGGTGGAAGGAGAGGAAACTTTTTAAAGCAGTGACCTCACTCAAAGTATTCCTTGAATTCCTACATGCCTAATCTCGTCTGTTTCCATCATATCGACTCAGAATGCATAATAGCTCTGATCTGTATATTTATCAGTAATATTACCCCAAAGAAAAGGTCGTGTTATTCTGATTTCTGCCGCACCGCTCGTCCTCGAGCACCATAACAGTCTTTCTTAACCGTATTTCTCTAATAATTGCGGCATAGCACTTAAAAAGCCGCTTAAGGGCATGTTATAAGGCGTTATCGTAGCATACGAACGAATAGTTCGTTCTTTTTCAAGGTGTTACCTATCATGACCGTTTTTGTTCACGTCCAGACAGTACTTTAATTGAGAAACTTTTTCGAAACGCCGGCTCATTGCGTTTCCGCGATCACCAAAAAGAAAGACAAAAGACCTTTGTAAATACCACCAGCAGTGCTCTAATGGAGGTGATATCGACACAATTGCTGGTCCATTTTGGGTAGAGGGTGCGGAGCATTTTTTGAGAAGTGATGCAACTCAAAGTACTTCTGTCCGCGAAATAACTAAGTACTTAAACTTATCTTAAATTTGAAAAATTCAGAGTACCGGGATATTAATTACAATTCATCTTCTGCTCACCGGAATAAATTTGAACATTTGCTGACCTTTTGGACAGCTGGGCCGGCAAATCTTCAAATTTGTTCCGGTGAACAGAAGATGAAGTATAAACTAATCTTATCCAGTCGCTAGGAGTTCATTTGCTGTGTCCAAAACAGGTACAATAGCAGACATGGAAGTCTTTTGAGGAGGGAGGGGGAGGGTGAACAGCACGATATCCGACCGTTCGACCGCTGTAAGCGATGGCATTCACCGCGTGCGCGGGAGTTGGGTTATACTGAGGTGGACTTTCGCCGTATCTAATGCACTCTCTCCTCCCTAGGCTCCCTTTCTCTGACGGCCAGACAACCGGGGGTTGGCTTCGGCGCACCAGCTGACAACAACAAACAGGGCGTCTACGCGTGCTACACACATCACCTGATCCCCACACTAGGCTTCTCTAAGAGTGGCTCAATTCTTACACCTGGGAAAATGTCGTAAAGGCCACATTACGACGACTGACTCGCAGTCCTTCAATCAACGCTCCTTTCCGCCCCTCAGAGCTAGAACCGACATGGACAATAGGGCCAGAACTATTCACTAGGGTTTCTTACTAATTGTTTGTTCATCGTCCTCGGTTTGTAGAAGACGTTCTTTATTACCTAATGAGTACATAAAGGCGAATTTTCCTGCATTTTTTCTAATAACTATCAGAATTTAGAAGGACGTCGCAAACTAATAAAGAAAAGTCATACTCTTAGGGACATTTTGCCGTAAGACAGATGATACAGGATTGCCATTTTTGTCTCATTAGGCGTCGTCAGCTGGATATACTCCACTCAAGTTCAGCAGCGGAAATTGCCGCCACCCTCAAGTTTCGAAACTGCGTCTCTCCGGTCAGAGGCAAAAGCCCTAACCCTTGAGCTATCAGGCCCGACGTCTCGATGTTTTTTTATCGCCTATCTACTAAAAGTCATACTGCTCAAATAGCCATTTTTTGCAGAGTAGACTTTTTGAAGGTCGTCAGAAAGAAACTCATTCGAAAGCGGGTATCCTGACGAGACTAAAATATCATGATTGTATGCTGCAAGCTAATAAATGCCAAAA